ATTTACAAAGTCCTTGCTTAACGACGAGCGCGGTAACACATCCATGTTTTTTCTTATGTCGAACATAACGATCCTGATGTGTTTCGTGTTACACCAAGTAGTTCGCAAAACCGACTTTGTGCAATTCTATATAACGTTATGCCAAGAAAGAAATCGAATTACATTGGAACCGACGGAAGACGTTGGCCTGGTATGCATCGAGTATCGTTCAAGTATATAATAAGAAACTGTACTCATTAAACATTCTTCTAAACTAGATGGATCCTTTGGATCAAGTCGGGGACCCTTCGAAAGGTCAGTATGGAGTCCTAAAAATTCAAACTAGTCCTTTAGGAAACGAATCCGCGAGCGGAAATACTGATTTCAATGGTAAATTGTTCACTTTTGGTTGATCAAACGGAAGTATGTATTTATTAACGTCGATTGCATGTTTCAACTGCTAGGTGGGAATCAGTATTCGGCATTTTCGTTCAGTAACCCCGTGTACGAACCCAGCGCGCCGTCAGGAAATCCTCCTGGCAGCGCTGGTCCCACGTACAAAGTCGAAGACGTTGTTGTCATGAGGGGAGCGTATGGTACTCAGACCAGTAAACCGTGGCCAGAAATTAAACGTATGTTTTTCAAAAGGCTCGAGTTCAATGAAAATATAATTAACCAATTTGTTTGATTGGAGAAAGCATCTGTTAATAAAATGTATAAAATTTCTTCAGGGGGTTTACTCGCAAGGCTCGAAGTGGCGAAAATAATATTTCCATACATGTCGAGTATCGGAGTGGCATATTGCGTCACGCTCTGTCTATATCCTGGTATTATGTCCGAGATCATTTCTTGCAAGCTTGAGTCGTGGATGCCGGTGATCTTGATGACGGCGTTTAATGCCTCTGACGTGTTGGGCAAGGTACCACAATCACGATTAACTCTTTGTCATATATTATAAATTTAAGCTTAAACATGATATATATATATTTAATGTTTCAGCTGCTTGCATTGATACCTTACGACTGGAAACGCATTCAATTGCTATATTTTTCGAGTGTTCGAATCATACTGATTCCCTTGTTCCTGCTATGCGCGCTACCAAGAGGTGCTCCCATTCTCTCTGGCGAAGAGTATCCATTATTATTTTCCTGTCTACTCGGTGTGACGAATGGTATCGTTGGTTCTGTACCAATGATGCAAGCACCTACCAAAGTTCCAGAAGGTCATCGCGAACTAGCAGGTACTTCTGACTTTGTCATTAACTATAATTCATTTTAACAAGTTACTTCTATACCTTTGGTTTTTCAGGTAACATCATGACTTTGTCGTACATCACGGGTCTAACTGTTGGCTCGTTTTTGGCATACATGATGGACACGTGCTTTGGAGTACCAATTCAAGCCAAAGATGTATGCTCCAAGATAATAAAAACAACAGCGATGCCAGTTAACAATACGACGTCAAGTATTTTTATAAACGCTGTGTCTTCCACTTTGCCGACGATAGAAAACGTTACACCAAAGGTAAAAACTACCGTGAATGTCTTGTCAACTCTCTTAACGTCTACTTTAGTTTATAATACTACTGTCAGTACGTTAACTACTGGCATCATAACGGCGTCTACAACTGCATCTCCTAAACTATTAATTAATGTTACTGCTTCCGTCAATAACGCGATTTTACAACACTAGGACACGCATGTTTGTGTGCTGTGTTGAATCTGGTGCTTTCTATAAAGTTATCGAAACCAGGAATTATGTGAGAGGATATTTCAATCGCTCGTCATTTTGTTTGTTAAATCGTAGCGTTTTCTGTAGGAATTTAAATCGAATGTCTGAGGGAATTTGAAGTCGTTTTAAAACGATCGGTTATTAGAATTTATCGCCAGATTGAACACACACACAAAAGTTGAGGCTCTCTATGATTCCCATGTACTCGTATTCACAGCAACCACTTTATTTGATCTCTTAGCAACTTAGTAATCGATGGACATGCTTTCAACGATTAATCGAGCATGCAATTGAACGAGAGTCAATACAAAAATAACAATGGAGCAATATTGAATCGAGTTGAAATTACATTTAACGAACGTTCCTTTAAATTATATGATTAGTTTAACGAAATGCTTGAACATTTTGTAACATAACGTATGCTAGACACTCTTTGAATCTATGATTATATCGCACTTAATTTTCTTAAAAGATATTGTGCCTTTCATACCGTTGTGAATAATTTAATTGACCATTGCTTATTACGTATCGTTGTTAAATGCAAGGAAATTTCAAATGTATAGCTATAATATTCGTTGCAAATGGGAAAAAGAATGAATGTCTTTTAATCCTTAAATAGCATATCGACAAATAACTATCATCTGGCAGAGACGATTTTCGAGGATCCTAATTGACACGTGAATTTATACTGTTGAAACTAATACTTGTTAGGGTCTCTGCCTGTCGAAAAAGAAATGCTATTAAAACGAACGATAAGATTAAATTCAGTCCGATATCGTTTAAGGATTAAATCGAATTTTTTGGAGCATGTTAAACGTTTTCTTTATTAAGTGAAACTCGTTATTTTGAATTTATCTAGAACTGTCTGGAAGGACTAATAGAGACTGTGGAATAGGAGTCCTTCCTGGTAGTTCTAACGCGTGCGGAACTTGTTAGGTCAGTGGTCGAGGAATAGGAAATTTACGCGACAAAGTTATCGTGTAAGTACAATCTGTACGAAATTGTTATACTTATGCGTGAACAGTTGATATATAAATATAAGATACGTATACTTGACACGCGTACTTCCGTATAAGGAGAAAAAGAAGAGTACTTGTTTCTTTCGAGAGCGCAGTTTTATCTATGTTACGAGCCCAAACATGGTCAAGATATTTGGGCTTCTTCATGGTTAATACTAACTGAGGTTTCGATGTTTAAGCCGTGTCTTTTGAGCAAGATTCAGCTGTCAAATAACGCTCTAATATTGCCTCAGTTAGCGTCAATATCAACTATATTCACAGTTGTGTGGGAGATTATAATCAAATTTTCAATCTTTAAATCATAATAGAATTAAAATAATTAAAAGTGGTAGAACGTTTGATTTCTCTTTTAAAACCAAATCGTATAATGAAGCTCATCCAAGCTCGTGAATTAAATGGACTTGAACGAACGTAACTGGTGAATCGTGCGAGGCACGTTAACTCGGAAGCATTTTTACGAGCGTTCCGATGGATTACTTCAAGTATAAAATCGTCTTACATTAATGGATAAATGTATATGCGTAATATATTAACGATATACCACCCATCCAAACAGCTTACAGATATATTTCGTATATTTAAAGAAAACTTAGAGGTCGTTTAGACGAATCACGCAAGAACTGCATAGATTTCTTGCCTAATACATACATCAAACATGAAATAACGCAAATTAATCATATCAATTTTCAGTTTGTTCTTCATCGACAGTATGACAGTTAATTCTAGTATGGTGGTTGTTTCATACAATATTTCTAGCATACGTAAATGTCGATACCACGTTAAAAGCGATAATGAAAGATGGGAGGAGGGACGACTCGACTCCATCTGTTAGGTACCTTACTTTCACATATCCTTATCGAAGACTTTGAACAAAGTTTTTTAACAAATTTAAGAATGCGATGTCAGAATTTAGGAATTTGGGAGCTGATATGTACAAATTCTTACGAGTAGAGATCATTTTCAAACAGATTTTTTCACGACACGTTCCTTTGCGAAATATTTTTATGAAACAATCTAATTTTACAGCAACATCACAGGGAGGATATACTTCAGTGAACATTTATTACGCAATAGTAGTATATTTTTTATTACTTTTAACTTATATCGTAAACATATAAATTCCGAAATATACCTATCAAAACTATATAAAAAAAAAATACTTCAAGGGTAAAACTTATTACAAAGGGAAACGTATTAAAAATATTCATTTGTAAGACAACTAAAGTTACGGTAGGTAACGAAATGAGTGAGGTATATGATTATGAATGTACAGTATAAGTATGCTTCTTAAAGATTGTGTGTAGAAAATATGAAAAATTGTTTTGTTTTGTATCGTATTTTTCATCATAGTGTACTATCCTTGAACATTATATCTGACGTGACATGGAGTAATTATCTGGACAGACCTTGATATGCACACAATAAAAAAACTACAATCGATTATAAAAAGAAGGGTGAATATAATTGATCTTAACGTTAATCAGAAGTTACTCCATATCGCAATTAATCAATATGTACAAATAATAAATATGTATATATATATATATATCTCTCTCTCTATTATTATAATTAATATACCTTATTCGATTATTAAATTAGTAAATTAATTCTTTCATCTTATTGTTAGCATTCGAATCGTTTTTTAAGATTCCATTTGCTACGTCTTCTTTATAATGCAATGAAGTGATAAATATCATTCTATCACAGTTGTAGTTACCTTAAGAAAATGAATAGACTAAGAACAATATGTAACAGTTTTAAAACAGTCATTTTAGATACTTAGCAGCCCAATCTGTTCGACCGTGAAGGCTTCCGCTACCTTTTGCGTTCATCACGTTTCCGTAAATACCTGGTTGAAGGGTTGCTTTGTTCGTAGCTTCTGTTAAATGAACGAATTGTTATTAACACCTATGAATCTTTTACTACGTGCGAAAATATCGATCGTAAGTTTACTGTTGTTCAAATTTCGTCGTCGATGCTCCGCTATTAAATTTTGAAATTGACTTCAAATACTCACTAATACTTTGCGTACCGTAAACGCTGGGATAAGGCAACCTCAAGGTCTGGTCTGTAATATAACGATTTCTCGGAAGGTAGAACTGCTTCGTTTGATTCTCGATAGAGTTCCTGGGCACCCAAAAGGAGTCTGTGAATTCCTCGTACTTCTCCAATGACTGCCCAACTAAGTTCCGCATTAACCTAGGTTGGTTCGAGTCGAAGTCACCGTTTCTTCAAGAGCAAAACAGAGTAAGTATATTAGAAATACGAAGAAAACAATCGATGCTTGGATACGAGGAAATAGAAATTATTTTATTGAACACTTTGAACGTACAATAGAATTTAGAAATACAGCGGAAGAAACAAATTGAGAGGGCCATCATTCGCTTTTTTCATCATTCTTATCAGATTGAACATTTCTGTGTCAGAAACGAAAAGGGATACTCGATTACGAAAAAAAAGGTATCGAGGCATGTTCGACAAATGTTACACAAACACTTCCAGTATTCCATTTGAAATATTTGATCTAGATATAAAAATGGCGATGTAAAAATACTGTTACAAAATCTGTGTAAAATAACGAAACGTTGAAGAATCTTAATGACCAATATGCATCGCGAGTACATTCTGCACGTAATCTCAAGACAGACGTTACAAACGAACAGCGTAACTTGAAATACGAAGTTCGACACATTCATTATACAATAAGGAATCCTCGATACTTGGACTTTTAATTGCAACGTGCAAATATGGATAGCGTTAAGAGATATTTTCAAAGATTCCAAGATGAACGTTTTGCGAGATCCCTTTACGAGAAAGTTAATCAGGTATGCGAAATGCTCGTGCAGTTTCTTCTGCCAAAGCAGACATCCGACCAGTATGTATCCCAATATTATCAGTAAAGTGGGGTTCAGGATTCGCTTTAGGTTTCGGAACTTTGGATACCTGGACGATAAGCTTGTATTCGGCCCAGCGACGTACCGAGCGACGCTGAGGTAGTGCTGTTTCGCTGAAGCTTTTCGACCGTTCTTGTAATTCGATTGCGACTGATTCCAGTGCATTGGAGCAGATTCGTTCCATGCTGGCAGCGTCCAGTTCCCGTTGCTCTGCTTCGGATTGTCTGGTAAATAATTGGTGTTCCAATTGGCACGGTTCTCTTTGTATACTCGTTCGGGGGCAAGCTTTACGTTCACGTTCTCGGGAACGATCTTGCTTCTGACGTGGACAATCAAGGATTAAATTATACTAATCGCGAGGCAGACGAGATCCAGTTTGATTACGAAATTCGGGCAACGCACCCCAGAAGCTCGGCAAAATCGTCCTCGTCCCACTTCGGGGGATTACTTTTGCGCACGTAATTGTTATGATTCAGTAGAGGCAGCATCAACTGTTGCTGTTGCTGTTGCTGTTGCTGTTGCTGTTGCTGTTGCTGTTGCTGCTGCTGTTGTTGTTGTTGTTGCTGCGTCTGCACTATATTCTCTTGCGCTCTGCTACAATACAAATGGGTAATTATTACTCGTTACTCTCAGAGTTCGAATAAGACTTCATTTGATCACCTTAGATGCGCGAATTTCGCAATTTCAATCGAATAAAGGAACGAATAAGCGTTACAAAAAACTGTCTAGGTAACGACTCGTTTGAAAGCTAAAGCTGGTAAAGAGATACACGTACCCGATCGAAGACTCTAATCCATAGGTGGTGAATTTTACCTGGTTTCCAGCGAGTTGTCGAAAATGTCTTGGGAATAGTTGTACTGTTTCGAGACAGGATGTGGAAGATTCACTTTGTTCAGAACTAGATCTCGCTGTGACGCGACGCCAATCTTTTTACTGTTGATCACACGCGGACCGCTCACTTGAAAATATGGGTACCTGCGAATAGATCATTAAATAAACCCTGATCCTTGTTATTTGAACTATTTCTGACAAGCTAAGCTACCTCAGAGACTGCTGAGCTGTGGGTCTTTTTATAGGGTTCCACTGGAGCATGTCCTCCATGAACACCACAGCTTCCTGGCTAGCGTTCGGTATTAGAATATTCAACGATGTCCGAGTGAAGTTAGGAAACTTGAAGTTCATGGCGGCAGCTAACTGATATCCCTCAGGCCAATCGTCCTTTTCTGGAGTGCCAATTACAGAGCATATTTTAAAGATCTCGTCGATTTCGCTTTTGCCAGGGAACAGTGGTCGAAACGTGTATAATTCTGCCATAATGCACCCCACAGCCCAAATGTCGATTGGACTGTTGTAGGTCGTTGAATGGAGCAACACTTCTGGAGCTCTGTACCTGAAGTTGGTTTCATCGAGTGTTTAGAAGATCAAACTTGTTGTGTATCTTGTATTTAATCGTCGTTGCTTCAGCTAAAAGTGACTAGGATCATTTTAACTGCGACTATTACCATCGAGTAGATACGTAGTCCGTGTAGGGTGGCCTTGACCGTATTTCCCTGGCTAATCCGAAATCAGCAATCTTCACCAATTCTGGTCCCATGCATAACAGATTTTCAGGTTTCATGTCGCGATGAAAGAACCCATGTTTATGCATGAAAGCTAGACCTTGTAACACTTGGTACACTATGTTTCGGATCACCGACTCTGGGAAGAGCTTGTCCCTGTTGTATAAGAAACTTGTAGTATCACTGTCTCGCAATATTTAACGTTGAGATATAACACTGAACTCTTCGATAATTAGAATTATCGTTAGGAGAAGGTAGCAAACCTTCGCAATTTTTTGCTTTACTCTCAGACATTAGTCAGGAGGAATACCTTCCTCCAACAATAATAATTAGACCGGGAATCTTTATGAAAAATAAAATATGTGTAATCGTATCTAGAAAAATTAAACTTAAATAAATATTTATTTTGCTCTGCAAATATCATAGTAGGAACTTTACTTTCAATCACTTTTATACGATTGCACACGGCTTCTTGCACATTACAATTTCCTATAAATTCATAAAAATCCGCGGTCCAATAATAATTCATTAAACCCTTGACATATGTAGATCTGTATCCTACCTATCCTTCATCAACTGATACAGATTTTCTTTCATGTACTCGAAGACAAAGTAGAGCACGTCGTTCTCCCGTATCACTTCCTTCAATTTCACCACGTTCGCATGACTGAGTTTTTTCAAAGACTGGAAGGAAGTAGTAGTTAATCTTTAACGTTCTATCATTCAGTGTTTTAGGCAAACAGATCCCGAATCCTTCTTACTTTCACCTCGCGCAGATTCATGGCTTCCTCCCAGGAATAGTATTTCCTCTTCATTCGTTTTATAGCAACCTTCTCCCCCGTGTCGATTCGTTCTCCAAGTACGACGGAACCGAAAGTTCCATCGCCTAATTGATTCAGCGTTATGTATCGATTCATCGTCATTTGCGCTAGGTTTAGTGAAAACGGTCGGAATAGCTTCGGCTTGTCAGCTGGATCGTTTTATCAGGATGCTGCTCCTGCATTATATTAACACCTACAAGATGGATTTTTACGCTTATTAACACGTTGACTGGCAGATCAATGCTCGGTGAACATTTCTATTGAGATTAAATTATTAGATAAATTATTGTCAGAGTTAATTTTTTTCCAATTAGAAGAAGACTGCTCTAAGTAAACGATATCTTTAATGGAAGTATTTATCGCGATCGAGGTATGTTTGGATAATGAATGAATTGCTCGATTACCGTATTCTACTATTTCTGACCACGGCACACGAGAATGTGCGTTTGATTGTTTTGATCATGCAACATCAGCTCGTCCACGTGTGGCCATTAATACGGAATGCGCGATGACCTTTTCTGGTTAATTTACAAGATATCGATTGGTGCCAATAGTTTACTTTGGTGGGCTATGATGGATTCCCTTCAGTCTTTCAAAAATAGTAAAACATGTACTGTATCCTCTAAATAACACTTTTGTCAACCCTAGGTTCGGTTTCATAGACCTTTCGCGAGTTCTATAAATTGCTAATGAAAGCATAATCTAAAAATCTAAATGAAGAAACAAAACAATCTAGAGTGAGTTAAATCCAAGTCTTATTGTCGTTACACCATGACCCTAGTCTATAGACCAACGACCAGTAAAAACATCAAATTGTTACAACAATTCAGATCGATTCTGCTTTGGACTTTGTCTGTCCTTGAGCGACCTTTCCTCGTGGGCCATTGGCCTTATCGTCAGAATCGAGCCGTAACATTTATTTTCAATAAAACATACCGAATAACCAACGTGTACAATTAAACTATGAAACAATTAATTTCTATTCGATCGCATAGGTAATAAACGGCATCGTTAATGGATAGACTATCACGTTTGTACGATCTCGGAATATATTTTGTCGACATCGACGGGTTGGCCACCCTGCGTATCGGTGCAAGATCGATAAAAGTATAGCTGTACTTAAACTTTCTATAGGTTCGTCAAAGGTTCAGGGTAAAAGTTTAATCTTGTCGCTAACGTTAAAGCCATCGACTGGGTAACGCTGTAATACCGTTCGTAAAATATAAAAAAGCACAATAGGGGTGCCCGCGTATACCACGGAACCTGCTGGTTACTGGGATATGCATGTTGATAGCTTAATTTCAGTTTCTTCAAAATGATAACACTACTTGTTTCATCGATCGGCGGATTCTGCTAAAGACACGTGGACTCTTCGCCTTTTACATTGCGAGCAATTACTCAAATTGTAGTGCATTCGAACTTTACTCCAGTCGTATGAACTTTCCTGAAATGAAGTACTTGGTACTGCCAGATTTAAAAATTAAAATTAACAATCATGACAATACGTTTTTTTTTTTAAATAGCCTTACTCCAAGAGGATGGCCTTTATTCATTAATCCTACAAAAGACAGTAGTCTGAGATTATACGATGAGATAAAATTGTCCTTTGATCGAGAGTTTTGAAGGAGTAACGTAATTCGCGAATGTCGCCAGAGGCCATCTTCTTAGAACAGGGTATTATCGTATTTCTAATACAGCGTGCCAAGTACGACACGACTTTCTTAGACGTTTAGCATCGTATGACGTAAAACGATAGTCCATCAACCGTTTCAAACGACCATACGATAACCCAGTTATGTCCCGAAAGGTTTAACAAATGACTTTGTCCTACAGCACAAGAACACCGCCGAGTGGCCTGGTCAAGATTAGCATTTTCTTAACGCTCGCATGCAGCCAATCTCCGCAGGCCAGTCAGACATGCGAGGGTATAGATTTTCTCCAGTCTCGCAACCCAAGAAATGACGTATTCTTGAAAAACGTATGCCAAGTGTCGTTAAAACACTAGGAAAAGGAAAAATAATGTTTCCAAGAAGAATAAAATTGTTCCATATCGGAGGCTTCCAAAACTTGCTCAAAGATGTTTGACCAAGATTAATAAAATTAATGAATATCAGTTATTAAAGTTAATCGAATGTTTGTGTTATTCATATTTCTCCAGGTGAAAAATGTTCTTTCACACCTGCCTTGGATTCGCGCCTCCTCTACTTGAAATCTCCTCTATTTTGAACACCCTGTTCTATATTATTTGAAATAATTATTCTATTGAGGAAGAATAACACATTCGTCTGCGAATGGTTTTACCAGGAACTCCAGTGATAAGGATTTATCGATGCTATTTTGTGCGTAGTTGCTAAACCGGAAGTGCCAGGAAGGGTGCCCACGGTTACCTAAAAATAGGTCAGTGCTCGAGAAAAGCGACAATTTCGAATAGCTTCAATTCTACTTACGAAGAAGTTCGCAACGCGAATCACCAGCATTCCACGTACTTGACTACCTTTCTGCGCAACGCTCGCTTGCAAACTGTTAATCGAGCGGCCATGCTTCACCGTGTAGCCATGGTTACAAATACTAACCGAAACTCCAACCAACACAGGTTGTTCCTCGACCAACCCGCATCTGAGCTGCCACTGTGTTAGTTCCAGTTAGTACTATGATGATGTACCCAGAAACATCAATCAATGTTAAGGTTCATTCAAAAACAAACATTCCATTTCATTCGTGTCGCCAATACTTTTTACAGAAGATGATGTTATGATGGATTTATAATAGGTTATAAATCCAATACAATTATTAGAATTTCTTAAATACGCTTGTTAGGATTGGAATACCAAATCTGCGCTGAATAAACATTTCCCGCTTGGATTTTTCGCGGCACACAGTTTCATAGAGACTGGTATCGTCACCTAACGGCGAGGAGATTGCACTATTCTTCTAGCTTGAATGTTTTAACATCGGTTGGAAGTAGGTCTATTTGGAACAAATTCGTAGAATACCCCTTATCAAAAAGCTAGGAGTTACGAGCTTGTTAAACTTGTTATACGATGTTAAACTATATATATGTAGATAGAAAAGTAGAGTATGTAATGTTGGTAAAAATGGATCTAATATCGGTACATACATACAGGAATTGGTGTCAGATGGTGCTGCTTGTATCATAAAATTAGTTTCTGCAAATTAGCCTCGCAAAGTTAACTGTTTTTGTCATCAAAGTAGGTCAATTGGTTATCACACTAATGTCGACCATACAAAATTGATAGGCATCCATCTCGATGAAAACCTTCTAGTTAAAGCTGGCATTGGGCAGATTGAGATCATAATGTCGCGAAATAACATTGAAATCTTACAGGAGTATGGTAGAACTGACCTAGAAACCCTTCCAACCATATACAAATCTCTAATTAGGTTACGAGTAGATTACGCTTTCTCTTTTCTCCAAATAAGAGACAGTTAATATAAACAAATAAAATTAAAATAAAAAGAGGGAGGACTATTCAGCGTGACACTTTGAAATGTCTGTTGTATGCGACTGTATGCGACTGACGACTCGCACAAGTTATTTAATAATTTATATAAATGGTAATCGGCGTGGTTAAAACCAAATGTCTAGTAACATTGCAAGGTGAACGCATGATTTGGTACGTTTTGTGCTGAAAAGTTCAAAGCATTCCGAATTTTGTTAACTCGTTACTTATTAGCCTGCGTTCGACTTCGAGATCCCGTGATGCATATCGTTGAAAGTTTTAGCCGTGCAGGCATCTCGTGATGCAGTAACGCCATCAAACGCCATCTAACGTGTCAGCCGTGCACAAGTGGAAACTTGTTGCCACGAAGGAGAAAGGAATCCATTTGACATACCGTATTCCCCTGAAACGGAACGAATTAACGCCGCCAATTGTAGCTGATTGTACTTGGTCTGTGGTAGTAGAAGCGTTCAGCAGTAGGTAACCTGTGGCGCTTGAAAGTTCATTCATTCCGTTGTTGACCGTGTTCAGTCGGGCCGTGTTGCGGGTCGTTGAAAGGTGATGGATGGCGCGTGTCGTGGTACGGTGACACGAAGTTGACATATTGCGCGAAAACGGTATCAAACGTGTCTTCATCCTTCTCTCTAATATCATTTTATGATCCCCGTCGTATCCACTAATGGCAGGAGAGTTGTGTAAAGAGAAGTTCACGGGTAAGCTGTATTTAGATGCTCCCAGTATATAGAATCCATAGCAACTTTGGATCGATACGCTGATTCTCTTGATGCCGATGAATCCTTTTCACCGCGGATGCTGTTTCGTATTCTTTTGTTCTAGCGTGTTCGAAATTTAATTTTTCCCATTTCGACTGCCAACGGAAGGTTTCTTATTCGTAAAGATCAAAGAGTACGTAACGGAATAGTACTGTCCGTGCTCGTAATTACGAAGATGAGCTACTATTAATTAAGTTGTTCCGTTATGAGAGGCATACAAAAGAGACGTCTCTTTTGTTGAATAGATTCGACGAAATTTCATAAAACGAAGGCGTGTCGTTTGGACCAATTAAAACAATTACCGTGACATGACGTCAAGAAAATATTAACGGGAATTGGTAGCTTTTCTCCTTGAATTTTTAAATATAGATATTAAATATCAGATGTCATTTGTCATGTTCCCAGCATTCTATGTTGTAAAACTTAATTTTATGTTGGAGAGAAAGCGTTAAAAACATGATTGCAGTCACAAATTGACCATCCTGTGAAATATATACGATAAAACTATTTTTAGTGTCATTTCTTTTTATAGACCTAGAGATCCACATACGTATGCAATTGTGTAACACATCCATAATTATTTTAAAACCATTTCTTCGAGTCCTTAATTTAAACATCTTCCTTTTCTAAATAAACTTTTATATATTACTGTACATTATATTTCAATCAAAGAGCATCTATTTTCAATGTCTGATCCGTTTAGTTCTAGTTCAACCAAGATTGATCCTTCGCTTGCATACACCGGAAAGCTCCACAATGTTCTATTGCAATATTGAAAGTCATCAAGGATGGAAGATAGAAAACTCACAATGTCCTGTGACATTCTGGCAAGGTTAAATGAGACTGAACAGAATCTCTTTGAGAATCAAAATCATTGTATAAAGCCATTACCAATTACATTTGATCAAGTGGATGCTGAGATTTTAATCAACAATAAAGATTCCATCAATGATTCAACAAAAACCAACTGCTGTAATACCTCTTCAAAAATATCATTACCTTCAAAGGATACCCAGGTAACTTCCTTCATTGATATTTATAGGTTCTTTAACTTTTGGAATATTTACTTCAAGTTCTCATATCATACAGACTTTTTTTCTTTTTCAGAACTCTAAGGAAAAAGAAGAGGCATGTTCTACAAAAAAAACTATTCAGCCACCCTCACCAACTACTCTACAGTGGGGTAGGGCTATAGCCGAAGTAAAAGAACATGCTGTAGCAAAATTACAAGATGAACTTAAGAGGGCTCACGAGGAGTTGAAACTCAAGGATGAAGAAGTTACAAGACTTTCAAGAATCAAACAAGATGTTGAAGCTGAATTGGAGGAACTCACTGCCAGCCTCTTTCAAGTAAATCTCGTCGTTTATATTCTTTACAAGGATATACAATTACCAAAAATAATGTAAAATTTATTATACGCGATAGGAGGCACACAATATGGTACGAGAAGCAAATGTGCGGCAAGCCACCGCGGAGCGCCTATTGGAGGAAAGTCGTATGAAAGCTGAGGTTTTGGCTGCTGAAGTGGCAGCTCTAAAGACATTAGTATTAACTTCAACGCCTGCTAAACCGAACTTTCATTTACATCCGCAGATCGATACGAAAAGTCGTCCGAATAACGAAGATGGTCAACAAAGTCTTTTTGCAAGAAAACATAGAAGGTAAAAGCGCTTGAAACTTCGTTTTATGAATACAGTATGTACACTCATACATGGCAACGCTACGATATTCGAATTGAATCTTAAACGTTTCCGTTTCTAGGTCACCGTCGCATTTCAATCTAAAATACGGTCGAGAGAACTCACCGCCGGATTCTCCGCTAAAGGAACAAAGACCATCTTTACCGTCGGATCGAGAGACTCTGGAAAGGGATTGGAAGAAAGACTTGGATAAGGAAAAGGATAAAGAATGCAAAGATTTTGGCCTTGAAGTTGATCCTAGAGTACATACAGAATTTCTTAAGTGGAAAGTCAGTCCATGCGTAGACAAAGGCGATCCTTTTGTTGGTAGAATTTTTAAAGAAGACATCGACCTCTGCCTTGATTTCCCTAATAAAGAATTAGGTACAAAAGTTAGGCAAGCTGTTCTCGATGGTATCATCTTTATAGAAGCGATTAGTGACAAGACGAAATTCACTTTTCCAAAGTAAGTCGATTGCTGCAACAGAAAAACAATATCTTAAATATTATCTTATTGTATTGTAACAAATATTTGTTTTTTTTTTTTTTTTGTTTTTTTAGAAAATGTGTACTGCTCGAAGCGCCGCGCCAATGTTATTATCGCATGAGATTCGGGGATCAAGAAAATCAGTGGTACAGCATATCACAAATTTGTCGTAATCGAGTAAGTCGTAAAGCTTCACGAGTAACATAATGTGACTCATAGAACGATGAAATAAATATAAAGTTAATACATTTTTATAGATCATAGCGGTCTGCGACTTCTTGAATTACCTGCGTTATATCGAGCGCGGCCTTGTCAAAAGCTCAGGTAAATTTTGCATTTAGATTTTATTTAGGATAACGAAAATGATGCACCAAAACAGACGAAATTAAGAAATGCTAATCGATAGTATTTTATTTAAATTTTAAGTGTGCGAGAAATTACACGCGGTAATTTTTCTTCGCATGATTAAGTGGTAATAAAGGAATAGAAAATGACAGTTGATTTCATGTGCTTGGAGTCAAGATAGAACAAAAGCCTTGGTTAGTTCTTAGTGTGTTTAATAGTTCAGATATTCGATCTCATTTTCGAAACTTATTTGAAAAATAAATTACAACTACGCAACGATGATACACGTTTCACTAAACCGAATGAGTGGTATCATATACATACAGGACAAAGAAGATCATACAGTTTCTAGAATTCAAATATGTTATTTTTGTTCCAGTTCACGATGTTTACTGGGAAATTACACGATTACGAAAGGAAATGGCATTTGCTCGTTTAGGCCTCGCATTGTCGTCTTAACGCTCTCTATGAAGGAGTTGTTCTAATCTTAAATGTAAAAAGATTAGGCCATAGATCTGTTATTATTCATTTACATCTATTAATTGTAGGTTGTTAACAATTTTAATCGTTCCGACTAGCCTTGATCTTTTTTTCTACTCACGATCGAGATTTTATAGAGTAAGTGTTAAAGTTTTAATGTACAAAAAGCTCTCAAATTCCTCTATTATAGGGTAAAACTCTCGCAACTTATTTAGAAACGTTTATACGAGCAAAAATCTCATTTACGATTATGGTTTCGAAAATGTCAAGTGCTATCTACGTTCTCGAACAGAAAATGATAATGACTTTGTTAACGATCTGACTTTAATTATATAACATATTATTTTATTAACAGGCAGAAATATATTTTTGATCAGTTTCAAAGTGCAATGAAATATTTCTAAGATATTTGGGAACACGGTGCCTTTTGACTTATTGCTTATCGATAATACGCGGCTAGAGTTTAGTTTAAGCTTTGTAGTTAGCGTCAATTTACTCGCATCGCACAGAAAAAATATGCTATTATTTTTATAATTTATTGATAATTACGTTTTTTTTAGTCTGAAGGACTGTAGAGAGATAACTATCTTCTTGAGTTCAAAATTAATTTGGACCATGATACATAATGAAAATATGTATTATATATTTACACATTGATCCTTGTTATTAAGTGTAAAACAGCTACACTGAATAACAGATCAACCATTTTTACGCTTTTTTGTGCTAACTATTACTGATCATAATGATTTTTAGCAGATGAGATTGCTCATTCCTAATTATTACGGGCTATAGTAGATCGAAAAAGAATCTCTTTTTTATGTTAAATAGTTCTGCGATTTGTATAGTTTTCATTTATTATATTTCGGAATTAATTAGTTCTCTTTTATTAAACATTTGTTCATTCCTGCGCTTAGCTAAAATTCAGAATTTATTGATTTACATATTTGTACACAAACACACACACATACCTTTGGACATTTAAAATTAGATTATTGAATTTTGTTAGAAAATCAAATATATTTAATTCAAAGAACAAAAACTTTTAAATGAAGGTCGTCTTACATTAATTATCAAAGGACGTGCCGTTGAACATATTGAAATAATGAAATTATTTTAATATCATTTTATAAAATGTAAGTATTTAAGATTTCGGCAAAATATTTAAAGGATGCCATACGTAAATCATTCATTAAAAATCAAAAAGAGAAATATCTATGTAAGGGTTGTACTTTGTAATAGTTTACAAGACGTAAAATAATTTAAAAATTGCTTTATAATCGTAATTTAAGAATTAATGATATTACGTTAGTGTGATACGAATCGAAGCATGAGTTTTGTCCAAAGGTACATAGTTTTTTTCTATAGAGAAAATTGTATTATATTCAATAGAAGAAATACGTTTTCTTCCATTACAAACATTAACTAGTACCTGGTAATTAGCGTACATATAAAAAATATATACTGTTAAGGATTTCACAAAACATTAAACATACATGTCATACAAGTACCACGCAACTAAAGTGATAAGAAATATTTCGAATTACTAACATTTGATGTGTGCCCCCTGGGTAAAAATATTTTTTGTTAATCTATCTAATTATTCAGACTTAAAGAAAAACGACGTACAGCTTATATGTTTTTATAAAACTGTTTCAATTAACGAAACATTTAATGCTATACTTCCATTGTTTATGCAAATCTTTAATTTGACTTTTAGATATCATCGAAATTAAAGTAAACTATAGAATTGTTTTTATGCATACATACATACATATAAACAATTCATTATTAAAAATATGTTTCCTGTATATTAAAGGTGCTTTACAATAATTAATAAGAAAATAACTGTATAAAATACTTCCAAATATAAAACTCTTAGACTAATTTTAGAGAATATACTTGGTCTCTTAGTAAGTTTTGTACAATCAAATTTTTAAAAAATGTGTTCGCGTTACGTTCGCGTAACACGAACATTTTTTAGTACGAGATGATTTTCCTGAAAAGTGTACGTGCCACGAAAACAAAGGATTCCTAAAAAAAGAAAAAATAAATTTTATTTTTCCCGCGTAAATGTAGCGCAATGTACGCGAACGACGCTGTGCAACATTTCGAATTGATTCTTTGTAACCAATTTATAGTCGTTTAAATTGGAATAGAGTTGGACGTTATAATTACTGAGATCATAGAAAGTAAAAGTGTAATAGTGTTCATATTAAACAATTAATTAGAACTATTCTCAGTAGTACACATTCGAACTATTCATGGTTGCCAAAGAACGATGTTTATCAAGATATACATTGAATTCTGCCGTTAGATGTAATTTGTAGGCAAAGTCGTGAAAGTATGGTTACAAATGCAGAACGGCTAAAAACAGCTCACGCATAATTAGAAACATTTACATGTATTAGGATGATACCGAAGTGTATATTTGTTATTAAAAATCTCTATGCATTGTAATCGTAAATATTTTTTGACATTTGATTATTGATTAAATAAATCTTTGTTTTAATACTGTCGAAATAGAGTTACGTTATTCCTTTACCTTTACATTCACCGACTTTTTTAAAAATGTACGAACGTCCCTCATCATAGCGATGTATTCACGCCATAATGATATCTTACTTCAAACGAGGCATTCGATTCTTTTTAATTTGATGGAAATAATTTATGACTCTTTAAGAATTTTTTCAATTTAAGAATATATCGTTTTTACACGTTTCTGTTTGATGCATGATGACGTAAACTAAATATAACGTATTAATCTCATTTTAAATTTCAAGATATCTTGAGATACGTACATATCTAACTGTTGTTAAATTCTTCCACGTCTAAAAACATCGGACCACCGTAGCACCGAACTTTTTATAATATAAAAATCTACACGATTCCGTTTAAACTGTAAAGTTTGAAAAACCGAATTATCCTTGTACCAACTAACGCTGGCGAATACAGAAAAGCGTGCGAGTGACATAATTGCGTAACACTTTTGCAAATTACCGCTAGATGGTGTTCGATATCAAATACCGCACTTTTTGCAATACCAATTTATGTTCTTTACCCCCGCTATGTTTAACTGTTCTTGTTAATAGATACCTTTGCACCAGTATAATAAGATTTCTAACCATTCCCAAGTCGCCGGTTCTAACGATTACAAGATCATGTTGAAACTCGCAGCATATCTCATGCTACTTGCCATCGGACTATCCCTGTACCTGAGGTGAGGTTCTGCTATATTCATTAACGGTAAATTTATAAGAATTGATATAAAATACACGGAATGGAATATTATTTTCTGATTTATTTATTTACCGTTATTTTTCAAGAATTTTACTATGAGTAATTAACAAACGATACGAACCCTTCCTTATTTACATACAGAACTACAATACTTATTGCAAAGTAAAACTTGTATAACTATTAATTCTTTTTCAAAATATTACAAGCTTTACGAGACTTATCATTTCTTGCGAATTATATTGCGTCGTTCGCATCGTTATAATGGATTTCTTTCAGGAAGATAAATATTAATACATCTGTATTATAAGAACGATGCTATTACGATAGAAACATATAATTATTAATGAGACAATGTGTAGGATGGCAAAAACAATTATCAATTATCTTCGTGTGAGAATCCGAGAATCGTGTGAAAATATAACTTCAAAGAAAATTAGCAATGGTCGTATACGGTCGATCAAAGTACATACTAACGAGGTCCTTGGAAAATAAGCGATATAATAATTGAAATCCTTGTGTCGAGTAATTATCATAATAAACATAAAAAGACATAATATCTTTGCATGCAACTCATGCATTTGTGTGTGCCCGCTATTTGTGCACTACCGACTAACACGTATAGTAAATTCATTGTAATTCAGAATTCTCACAATTAGATTAGACACTGCATCATGACGAGACGATTGTATATTATGTAATCCCATCCTAATATTTTGGCTGATAATCACTAGGAGATACAGGGAGACTTTGATTGATACAACAATGTTTTCCATGATAAATATTATTTACTCGCCCTATCTAATTTTTAAATTATGATTTTATAAAAAACTCTTTTATTTGCGTGATAGAAACATGTCTCGATAACTTGATTGAATAAGGTCACGAGAATTATTCTTCGTTTTCGAGACGTCATCGTTTCGGCGTAATTATGCCACGTAAAAATATTATTAATTTGCAACTGAATGCTATAGAGAAATACTCGATAAATTCCGGACTTTCAAAAATAAAATTGATTTAACAGTATTTTTCGTTTAGTTCTCCAGATGAAATAAAAGTACCAACTTTGCCAGAGACCAACTGGGGATTGAGGAAGGATGGGAAAGAGTCTACTGAGATAAGGCCTTTCAAAATTGATGTTCCAGAATCAGTGAGTAATAAAATAAATAATGAATAAAACTGATATCTTTTAGGCCAAATTTTTAAGCTTGTTTAACTTTCTGTAAAGGTCATAGTGGACTTGAAGTATCGTCTTTCACACAGAAGAACTTATACAAATCCATTGGAAGATGTCGCATGGACGTATGGTATTTCCACCAAGTACCTCAATACAATACTTGATTACTGGACAGATAAATACAATTGGACTGAGAGACAAGCTTTGTTGAACAAATATC